ATGAGATGAGATCTCGCCTTAGAGATAGAGGAAAGAAAAAATACAGCCGCGACTGATAATGGGGCCTCGCACCTCCGCGGGAGGCCCAAAAAGCGTCGCGCGGCCGGAAGTACTTAAGGGGGGGAACGGGGGGTCGGGGGGGAAGGGGGTGGACCGAGGGGTGAGAGGGGAGGGGGCGCCGGTGCTCAATTTCCGACAGCGAAGGGCGAATAGCAGTCGCAGCCTTCGCCCATTTCCCGCCGTCGAGCGGCGGTGATGGCCCCGCCGCACGCCCGCCCGCCCACGCCCGCCCGCGCCGCCCACGCCCGCGCGCCCGCCCGCCTGCATCCCGCCGCGAATTTCGGAACGCCGCGCCGCGCCGAATTTTTTCTCTTTTCCACAGTGTTCGCTTCGATACAGACCATCGTTTTTTGTTTTAGGTTTGCTGGCTGTAAGTTGCCTTGGGGTGACACCACTAGCAGCATCATATGAATGGGTTAAAAACCAGAAACGGTATATAAGGAGGCGAGGATGGGGCGTTGCGGGGGACGGGCGGGGGCGGAGGCGGAGGCGTGACGGACGGCCCAGACGCGCGCCCAAGCGGCTTCGCTTCGCTCCCTCGCGGCGCCCGCGAAGGAGCTGACGTCACATCGACGTCCCGAGCGGACGCATTTAATAGCGCTTATCCAAACTACCTGCACGAGCTTACAATAACAGTTCTTCGACGAATACAGTAGCGGTCGAAAGGTTAAGACCACATCACAAACTTTGAGCCCTGTGCGACTACATATTTTTTTTCTTGCGTCTTGTAATGTAACAGTTCTTCGACGAATACAGTAGCGGTCGAAAAGTTAAGACCACATGATGTCATCAACATCCTACTACATTTTTTTATCTTACGTCTTGTAGTGTAACAGTTCTTTGACGAGTACAGTAATGGTCGAAAGGATGATGTTATCCACATCCCAAACTTTGAGCCCTGTGCTACTACATTTTTTTGTTAAGTCTTGTGGTTTGTGATTATTATCTCTGCGAAACCTCATATACATTGGTAATGTGATTTTGGGATATCCGATTTTACAAGAATTTTAGTCTAACGACCGAAAATATCATTTATACATCCACGATGTCCCATATTAACTGTTACAAACATATAAAAGGCTAAAAAATTATAACTTTTTGCCATTGTACATTTAATGGGGAATTTCATTTAATGGAATGGCACACGTCGAATTTGCCTTTACTTCCTATTCAATGCAATGTGTACGGATGTTTGGCAGGTATGTGAAATCTCCTAGACAGCGCCAGAGCGACGAAATCTGACATTTCTGACAAACCACTGACCATCTAACGGAACACCTGTGCATAAGGAGTTGCCTGACAATCAGGGTCAAATGAAACTGTGTAATTTCCTTTTCAAAAAATTCCGTTACATGAAATTTCCAACTACATATTAATTAGCAAAAAGCGGTCGTATTCCACTATAATTCCACCATAACTTTTATTTTGAAACATATATAAATGTATTCCAACATTTTGAATATTTTTATGTGTGACTGAATTATTGTAGCTGCTTGCATGATTGTTTAATTAACTTAGGAATTATGAAAACTGTTTTAATGCTCTTAGATATTTTTTTATTAATCTGTGTCAGAACCCCTTGGATCTGTAAGGGAAAATGTGAACAAGCAACTACGTCCGCATTTAATGCAGCGACTCTATCTCAGAGGCAGGAGTAAACAAAGTCTATGCAATTAAACCAGTGTGATTATTTCAATGATGCGTAAAATCGATTGTTCTCGTGTGTGGTTGAATTCATCACGCCCGATTCACTGCAAAAAAATATCTAATAACTTTTAGATTTGTATTTAATCGTTTACGATACTCTTCTTGTCTGTTACGATACTCTACTGTCTTAGAGATATTATAAAGACTGGTTGCATATGAGAACCGCGAAACTTATCCATACTACTGAAATAATATAGGAGAGGATTAATTGAATCCGTGTGAATATTCCGCACTTTGTAAATTATTATTTTAAATGTGAAAATAGCTTCATCCTGGAACCCAACTTTGAATGACTAGCCTCCTAACTGTGCATTACGTTACATAGACTCTTTGCCGTGTGTGAGGAAACATTCTAATTTTACTAAGCATTTATAAAAAACAGGCAAACTGTATGATTAATTTACATTTAATATCTATTATTTATATTTTATAGAGATTTCGTTATTCTGCCCGATTCTCCTCCATAAACCTCATAACCTGTAATATAAGATCCAAATACTTCTTCATTTGCCCATTACGAATCCAGAAACATAACTCGAGTTCCTGTGAATGCCCCAAATCCGGAATTTAAAAAAGGTGCAACATTGTGGAGTGTGGGCACGATGGTAAAGTGTATTGCAATGTCTCTTATGTTGTGGGTTGCGTGGGCAGTTGCTTAGTTTTTAGGAGCAGAATCTAGAAAATTACATTTTTCGACTTCTATCTGTTTAATTCCCACTTAAGGGATAATTATGTATCCTATAGTATCATGCTTATGAGATTTTGTGTCGATGGGTTCTTAGGAGTCGTAGAAAACTGTCATATTTTCAAACGGATTGAAGAAATTGTTATTATACACTATAAGTAGGAGAGAGCTAATTTGATTCTCTTTGCCCGCATACTTCTAAGTCGGACATGCTCCGAACTTCGGACTCCGAGATTAAAATAAAATGATCTTAAATCTGTGGAAGCATAATTATCAAAATATGTTTTGCCTTAATATACTTTCGGTTAGTGCTTATCTATTGTTACCTTTTGTCGAAAATTCAAAATTGTGCCATTCTGTGCAGTAATGTATAGAACTATGTTATTCCGAATATCATCAAGAACACTTGTGTATCATTTTTCATAAAAGTCGAGAAGAAAATATTTATACATTAAGTAATTATTCTAGATTGATATTTTTTGAGGAAACATTTTTAAATGAAATTCGGTCAACAGACTTCGGATCCAAATAACTTCGGATCGCAAAAGGAAGTTACATATCTACCTGAATCTCCTCTGCCCTACAAAGGAAAGTTCTCAAAGTGTTTTAAGTTTTACTTCTGTTCCCGTTGTTTACATGTGTGTTGTGTTAATTTAGCTGTTGCCTCCTGAATCGTCGAACCTTTCGAACTCTAAAATAATTTAAAGGCCAAACGTTAAATTTTATTTTCAAGTTTGAACTTTTATAACCTCTCTAATAGTCATGAATTACGTTTGAAAGGTCACTCTTCATTGTCAAAAGAGATCAAGATATTATACTTTTAGTATTAAGAAGGCTGAAAACTTATTTCAGTTTTGTCGTAAAGCTGTAGTTTGAATTCTGGTAAACTGTTGATAAATGTAAAATATGCAAAAACTACAAATTCTTTTGTCAAGATTCAATTATAAGATGGGGTTCCTTGAAATTTTGCGTGAAGCACAAAATTTTATATTGCAATGTACTCGTAATGATAGAGATTTAGAGAAGTGTGATGCCGTTATCAATTTTCTCCCAAAAAATAATTTGACCTGCATAACAACTACCTTTTCAAACTAATTTTTATTCGACTTTTGGGATGGAAACATAATATTGTGTGAACTTTTAAATATAAAACATATTTGTTTTGTGGTTCAAAATGGAGGAGTGAACCTTGAGGAACCTCTGTTGTGTTGCAGTCGGCAGCCAAGGTGGAAACGCACTCTTGCCGCCACGCGATGAAGCCGGCCAACAAGGAGAAGAACCAGAACCAGAAGTGCATTCCATGTAAGTGACAGCGCCCACAGCTCAGTGGCCGCCTGTGATTTCTTCTCTCGTGGGGCAGGTGATGGCGCCTCCCCCTCAAAGAAAGATGCGCTTGGAGTGTACGCGTTTCATCAAACACGAAGGTGTCTCAGAATAGTAAATGATACAAACTTCTAGGGCGTGGGGAAAAGTCGAAAATCATCACATTTTGTGAATGAGTATGTGGTGGGAATCTTCTTGGAACGAAGATACACATGTGCTGTTTCCCGTTATTGTTAGGTAACCTCTCATACACTAGTATTCGGTAGTTCACGTTTTGCAGCAAAGTGATTTGGTGTGTCAGTCAAACATTAGTGCTGGAGGACGTGCATGATATTAATATGCTACGTGAGTAATGTCCTTGAAAGAATTTTATCCGGATGTTCTAAGGCAAAAAGCGGTCATTTCCGAGCACTCGACAAGCCCTAGAAGATTGTAACATTTATTCTGAGACATTGTTTATTCAGATATGATTTAAATGAAGCTGCGAACAGCACGCATCAACCGCTCCCTTTAGCATTCAACGCATCGTCTTCTCGTACCCGGCACCGGGGAGCCAAACGTGTTAATAAAGACACTCTTTTGAGTCCGCGATTCCGGTGACATGAGTGATTCAGTTGACGCCGATAAAAGGTTGGAATGATAACGCCATTTGAATAAAATAGACATTGAGGCCGGTGTGTAGATAATCAATTATGCTGACACGCACTCATGTGGCATCCGTCTTCCACTAAATGACGTTGGCCGAGCATCGAGATGTTTGACGATGTGTAAGCGAGCGTTCCCTTGACATTGCTTTTGTATTTCAGAACCGAGGAAAGTTCACTTATGTTCGTGTATTGTCATATTTTACGAATCTATAAATTGAAACAAGTAGTGACAAATTAAATTAATATCTTGAATTGTATAAAAAAAATTTGAGACTTCACAACATTAAACAACTTAATTGCCGCGTCCATTTTCGGGTATGATACGTACAATTTCACATCCGTATGACTCGTACTTACCTTTTTGGTAGCCAAGAATTCTTAGAATTCAGATGTGGTCACTAAGTAGGCAAATAATCAAGTTAATTTTGTTTACATTGATGGTTTATTGTTTGACCTTTATCTGTTAACAATTGATTCATACGTTCTGGTAAGATTAGGGTAAAATGGCTTAATGAAACAATTTCAACCACTGCTAGTAAAGCTTGATTTTATTTAATATTTATGTGTCTAACCTTTGTCCGGGACGTAATAGCAACGGTCCGCTTAGGCAGACTTTTGGTTGGCTAATGTGCTGTGAACTTTCGCAGACGACTACAATCGCGTGGTGCTGGACCCCATGGTGGACACCCCCGACTCGGACTACGTCAACGCCTCCTACGTGGACGTAAGTGCAGCGCCGGGTTCTTTGTCCCTTTGCTTTGCTTTGTCTTTTATCTCTTTATGTGTTGGGAAGACAGTAGATGACAGCGAAAATAAATGTGTTTAAGGGGACACTGTACAATGAAAAGGGTCACATTATCAAATTGTGTTCTTGTCTAAACCAATTTTACAACTTTGCTCTTTACAAATTAACATACTATTTTATTCTTTGAAAGCTGTGAATTCATTTAATTTCAACTTAAATATCGTGGTACGCACAAACGACTCCCCGCAATTTTTAGCGCTGCAAACAAACTTAGTGCCTTATTCATAATTTGTCATATTGTGGTTTATATTGGGTTATTAAAGCCTATTATAAAGTGATACTACTGCAATTTTTCATTTAAATTATTATCTAGTGCCATTCTCATGTGAGAATGTTTGTTCATGATTGTTGTAACGCAGCATTGGCGTAAGTACAGGCTACTTCAATGGGAATGTTCCGAAAATATATTTTTTTCTAATTAATGTATCTTTGCTCAGAAACTATTATTCAGAACTTAATAAAATGATCATGTTACTATTTTTAAAGTATTGGCAGTGAACTGCTTTTATATAAATATTTGTAAATTACAAAAAATAGCACAAATTTAACATTGGAAGTATACTTGTACATGGTACAGCCTACCGTCAAAAGCAGGTTTAAAAGTGTAAAAAATAAGTAGAATATTTTGTATTCAAGTGTTTCCTTCAAATGCACAGCCTTTACCTTTTGATAGCATTACAGTCACTTGGGGAAACTTAAGACCATGGAGAATGGCTTTACACCGTTATCCTCTGTAATGAATGTTTGTTAAATTAAATGTTCACATTTGTATCTTCAGTTGCTTTAAGCATTAGTGGATTCTGACTAATCGACAGAATCGACTAATGGTTAAAGCAACTGAAAATACAAACTCCATCATTTAATTTAATGAACATTTGTTTAAGTTGTGCTTGGTGCATAGCCAGCCTCGAAGGCCTAAAGTCACCGCAAGTGACTGTATTAATAACGTGGATTTATCAAGAAAAATAGATCGTTATGTACATACCATTACATTTATGTTGGATTTCCTCCATGTTTAAGGCACAACTAGTAATCCTTGAATCACAAGTTGTATGAGAGTTTCAGGACGAAGAGTGTGTAGTGACTGACGTAAGCCCCCCATGTGACGCCCGCCCCTTGGTGTGCGCAGAGCCTCCTGAAGCCGAACGCGTACATCGTCACGCAGGGGCCGACGGAAGTGACGGTGTGCGACTTCTGGCGCATGGTGTGGCAGGAGAACCCCAGCTGCATCGTCATGCTCACCAAGACGTTCGACTTCATTCGGGTACGTGCGCCACGTCTTGGCATTCTGTGGGTGAGGCGCCCGCGCTAGCGAGTGTGAAGTGCCGGGCTACGCCGAGCCAGGCTGTCCTGTGCTGGGCCGAACTGGGCTGGGCCGAACTGGGCTGAGACAGACCGATCTGGACGGGGTGGGGTGGGCTAGGCTGGGTGGGTAAGTGGGGAAAGAAAATGGATCTTCCGTGAAACGCTATCCACCTAAGGGGCCTTCTAAAGGGAGATGAGTAGGGAGCTTAATCTCTCCGAATAGTATCTTTCTTTGTTTCTTTCCTTTCGTTCTTTTCCTTTCTTATCCTTTTGTTTTCATTTTCTTTTCCTTTTTCTTTTTCCTTTTCTTTTCCTTTTTCTTTTCTTACTTTTTTTTTCCTTTTCTTTCCTTTTCTTTTCCTTTTCTTTTCCTTTTCTTTTCCTTTTCTTTTCTTTTCTTTTCCTTTTCTTTTCCTTTCTTTTCCTTTTTCTTTTCCTTTTCTTTCCTTTCTTTTTCCTTTTCTTCCTTTTTTTTCTTTTCTTTTCCTTACTTTTTATTTTATTTATTTAATTTTGCATTTATTTATTTCAGTATGTTATAATACCAATTACTAAACCATTTTTATTGTTCCGCTGTAGAGAAACTCATCTAATGCGTGTGATAAGCTTTGTCTTACTTTCCCGCATGATAATCTGAAAGGAGATGCAACGCTTGCCTGCATTTCATTCAGTTTCCCTCGTTGCATGGTGTGTGCATGCAAACTGGCCGGCGCTATGGACAAGGTGGAGGTGTACGGAATCTGACGGTGTCGGTGGTGAAGGAGAGAGCTGGCAACTTCCACATCCACCTTCCGCCTGGTGCACACACGACGGCCTCTCGGTGAGCAGCATTGGTGAGGGCGTTGGTGCCTTCAGTTCCTTACAGCTGCGTTCAAAGATGAAACAAATTTATTTGCATTTCAATACATTTCTTAGCTACCTTGCTTTCACACCTTTAAACTTAACTTACCCTTTATGGTTCTCACTTGTACTTCTCAAAGAGATGACGCAATGCATTATTATTTTAAAATTCTTCTTAGATGTTGGGGAACAGGTATTTGGGAATTTCATCTGCCTAACCAACAGGCAAAGTGTGTAGTAATTCTGAACTGTAGAACAGTAAGAAGCACATGGTGATATAGAAATGCGAATTATCTGCCACCGTTCAAATGATAGTTTGTATCTTAAATCCGTTCATTTTCGCAGTTAACCCACGTTTCAGCTCCGTCTAACAAGCG